TTAAATTGAATAACCAAATTTATAATAATGAAGAACCTACACTTAAAAAAAAAGTGTTTGGAGCTGGATTTCATCTTAATAATGAAGAACCTATATTTTGAAATAAATGTATTAACCTAATTTTATGAATTTAAAAAAAAATGGTGAACAGTGTGATGCCCACCTCACAAAAATGTTACGGTGTTTCGCGTTCGATTGGAGCTGGCGGCGAACGGCAGACGCATGTAACATGCTCCATTGGAGATGGCCTTAGTATATGTATATTCATAAATTTTCATGTAGGTGATCGACAGTCACCTAACAGGTATTAGTCAAGGAACATTGCCAAAGCGGTCACACCACTCAAAAAGGAACTCACCCAAGAAAAATATTACCCTTAAGCAGGCTGGTTAGCCCCAACTCATGAATTCATGGACACTCTCCCTAGAAGGATCATCGTATGAAGACTCATCTCGACATATTAGGCTAAGGCATAATCGTCCTATGAAAATCTCATAAGAGGACACATTAAAACAACCTTGAGCTCTTGAGGTAGTTCACATCAGCAAGGATCACTTGCCCACAATAGGTACATACAGTCAAGCCACCTACCTATCACTGATATCCCAGATCAAGTTATAGGAAGTGTAACCTCAAAAGCCCTTACTCTGTAACCTCAAAAGCCCTTACTCGTAGATTCCATGGTGAGTCATTTTAAGATTAGTAGTCATTTCCACTCTAAGGAAGCTCACCCTTAAGCCTGAAGGTCTATATAGCACCTCTATGAACTATCCCGCATATCCAAAGGACCCACCATCATAGACTCGTCCCACATACCAGATCCTCAAAACTCGAACTAGGTACCCAGCTCCGAAGACTCGCCCACAGAATACACCTCAGAGCACAGAGCCATACCAGAGGCATGGATCCATATGAAAACTAGCCCATTAAGCCACGTATATATGACAATATTTGTATTCTTTCTAGGTGTAGCATTCCCCATACCACTGAGGGGTCATTTGACTCAACAGTCCATCATAGGAGACCAAATGATCGAGTGCTGACATCAACACCAGTACTTAATCCCACTCACATGGTGACAAATGATGAAGAATACAACCCACCAACCAAGCGCGTTAGAAGAAACAAACCTAAACTAGCCAATGCTTGAAGTTAAAATCCTAGAACCTACAATCGCCCAAGTTACCCAAACCCAAGGGCTAAGAGATAGACCTTTTCTCCACTTAGTCAGCTTGCAACAATAGAGAACACTCGCTAAGTTATTGGTACTGGCCAACAACCATATTAATGCTAAAGAGTACAACAGGATGGTTGAATCCTCCGCAGCCACTTGTCCATATGAACTAGCCCCCATGAGGGAGTAATAATAAGGGAGAGAAAGAGAAAGAACCTGACCCATGGATAGGAGGGACATATGACCCCATTTGTTGCAAGTCCATAATTGCACTAAACAACATCCAAGGTTACCCCTGTAACTTAGGCCAATGATGATTGCAAGACCATCCACTCCCACTCACATCACTCACACATACCCTTAAGAGTTTACACATCATCCTCCAACCTATCCAACCTACACTCCATTGAGAGTGTCTATGGTTGAGTTAGTTGAGGTCGTCCAAAATAAAGAACTCTTTAAGTGCCAAGTGGCCATGAAGGCGAATGCATACACCCTACTAGACCCTTCATGGTACTGTGTCTTCCACAGGACATGAAACAGAGAAGTGTCAACACCTATAATGTCTAGTAGAAGAACTCATCAAGATAAGAAAGTTAAAGAAGTTCATACTCACTGATCCTAGTCAATGCCCAAGAAAAGCACCCATGGAGAGAGGTTAAGTTAGTGGTCTTCAATGCCAAGAACTTCTTTGGCCATCAAGTTAGTGGCCTCCGTCGCCACCCTAGAATCAATCATAACTTTCTTTGCAGGGGGAAGGTAATGAGTTTAGGGGCCTCCAAAGCGAATTGGACAATGTTATGTTATTACTTATTATACTTCATAGTTGTTCATCATTCTTTCACATGTGAAGTCTAACTGATTTCAAAAGTAGAAAATGGGCATCATGCAGACATCAGAATACTTGCTTCAATATAGTTTAATAAGAAATAAAAGTAGATTTCTCGACAATGTTATGTTATTACTTATTATACTTCATAGTTCATCATTCTTTCAAATATCCGTCAAGTCTAACTCTTGTCAAAAGTAGAAAATGGGCTTCATGCAGACATCAGAATACTGGCTTCAATATAATTTAATAAGAAATAACGTAGCTTTCTTAAGGAATCAGGAATACAGTCCAAAAAAATGGGGTGACCGGCATATCTGCTAAGTTCGACATTCTGATCAAACACAATTTCAATCCACTGGCACCCACAAAGTGCAGAGATCCAAATAAGAAGCATGGCCTCGAAGCAAACGAGACAAAGTTTACCTTTTTACTACGCATCATGATGCAAATATAAAGTTGACACGATGATTGATGGGATACTATTTGCAAGTAAAATAAACAACCATGCCGATAATAAATAATCAATAATCACGGAATTCGGACCTACCGGCTTTCTAAAGGAAGAAGATGGAGTCTGCTTGCGGGAGCTGGTGGAACCTATTCGTCTCGACATCGAACCATCAAACCTCTGAGAGAGCTGATGCTGTTGGATTGCCATAGCAAGCGCCTGACGGTGCAATAAATCCTCTTCTGTTATCATTTTTCTCCGAGGCCGGGAGCTGCTTTGGCAACGAGATTCAATGCCCCCTCTAGATTCCGTCCTAGGAATGCAACCCAGCCCGTTGCCCATCTAACACTTTGGATATTGAGTAGACAGAAAATCTGAAGAACACCAATTCACGAATTTTAGGGATGAATCTCACATAACCAAGTGTCCGTAAACCGTAAACAAAGCAGACTCACAAGTTTTCCGACCAATTTTTTTCAAGAAATCTACATAATCGGGACTTCTGGACAGGGAGCAGAAAATCAACCTGGAGAACAAACACGGAGCTCAGCCTTATTGTCTCCTGAAACTCGGAAGTGGACAAACGGAACTACCGATCATACGAACCAGGAGCTCTAGCGTTTGCGAAGACTTTGTCATTCTCTGCTTTAATTTATTTGTTTATTTTTTTCCTTAATTAAACTTCATCTACTTTCGTCCTTCTAAAAAAAGAATGCTTTAAATTTGTTTATTAATTAAATTTGTTCCTACAAAGCCTATTTTTGATACATTTTAAAGAATGACTTAAATTTGTTTATTCAAATACATTAAACTTTCTTATTTCAAATGTGTTTGATACATTTTAAAGAATGCTTTAAATTTGTTTGTATCCTAAGAAATGATAGTACACCATGATGTTTAAAAAAAACCTCAAAGTGTTCCTATAGATTTTTAGGATTTTACAATTATAGATTTTCATTAAAAAAGTTATATAGTTCAAATTTTGCTATATATAAAATGGTTTCTTAATTAAATTTTACAACCCAACCTAGTGGGCCCTACAAAGGACTCACCTAAGGGCTTTCATATCCCATTAAATTAGAAGTGTAGAGGAAGTCACCCGATAGGAGGCAAACCAAGGGTTCTCGCAGGCTGCACGAGTCGCCACTTGTCTAGACCAATTATCCAATGAAACTACACATCATCATCCATGATGGAGTGTCATTATTTTCATTCGGCGTCTGAGCGTAAGGAAAATGCCTACTAAAGAGGCTCTCAGCTCGTCTTATGGCGATCATGTAACTACGAAGCTTAGCTTCTATGTAATACCAACTCACTTGCATTCTTTTCTTAGGTTATCTAAGGTTCCAGCAATGGTCATCAACAACTTCGAAGAATCCACTAGACACATGCCTCACCAACTAGGTTCTTTCTTAATACACACCCGACACTACTGAACTCACCAACGCATACTCAACACTACTAAACTCGTCCTGAGGTAGATAGTCATATTCATACAAAGCTATTCTCCTTCAAGCTAGTAAAAAAGGTGGCACATGTCTAAGATAGTCCGAATTGAGAATCTATAAAATATTATATTATCTATTTCTTTACTGATGTAGTAATAATAATAAGCATATAGCACAATTTATGATCTTTTTGGTATCTAGAGCACTAGTATTGTAGATATTCGATAGTGCATTCTTCTCTCCATTCTCTCAAAATTTCCCAAGTAATTTTCTCAAAATTATCCCATAAGTAGAATGAGTATCATCCACTTATAGGTTTGAATTCACATAACCCAAGATAATCACTAGCACAATTTTCCTTGTTTGATGTCGGCCTCAAAAATATGTGATGTGAGACCACCAAATAGAAAGTCACCACCTGAATAATAGTTACTCTCTTAAGCTTCGCCTGACTTAGATACCTTCATCAAACCATAAAAATGGTGTCATAAATTAAATTTCGAAGTTCCATTCTTAAGACTTCATTTTTAATGATGACTGATGTCAAAAGACATCCCACATTCCCAATTAGAATTTTAAAGATATTAAATTAAGATTTCATTTGAGACAATTTTCTTATTTTATTGTTTTATTTTTAAGAATGCAATCACAATTTATATTTGACCACAATTTTTTCACTTCTTTCAATTGTTTTTGCAAACAAAATTATTTTTTATAACAGCTTTCAAAAACTATATTCTCCATAATAATTTTACAATCAATATTATAAAAAACTACAATAGTTCTCCTAAACCCTGAATCCATTTGATTGTTAAAAAAAAAAAAACAAACATTTTATCTATAACTATCTTTTGCTGCACATTTGTAAATACTTAACAAAATGACAGCAGATATGCATTCACAATTGCACTTTTGCTGTCCTTTTGCTGAGTATTTACAAAAGCGCAGCAAAATAACAGCTAAAACACAACAAATATCCTACTAATTGAAAAATAATGCCCTTTTGCAGATCATCATTGGCTAAATGAATGCGGATTCTAAATATTCACAACCTAATAGACATTACTAAACTTGAAAAAGATTACCTGACATACAGAGAAAAAGGAAAAATCGTAACACATTTATTCACGCATTAGCAATGTTATATACGCACAAAAGTAAAAATGAACTTCCGAAAGCATTGCACACAGGCAAGACATCATTCATGTTCAAAGCATAAATGCAGTTTTAAGAGTTGAAATTATTGTATATAGCATAATGTAAGACCCATGCAGCTTTTAAATGACACAAGGAAATCTATTCTTCTGGAACAACGACGCTGATCTCACCCTTGTCGAGCATGTCATAAAAGGCTCTAGTTTTTCGCTGCTCATTCCAGTGGTGCATCTTCCACAGCCCACCTGCCAAAAGCCCTAGAGTTATCCCAATGCATATCTCCTTAACAACACTGGGGCCCTTGAGAGTAGCATGAGCAATCTTGTGCGCAGCCATCCTTCTCTTTCTTACGTACCACAAAGACCACCTAAATGATAAAGTGAAGCAGAAAAATTGGGGGCGAAAAACATTCAGAAAGAAGTCAAAATTTCCGCATAAAAACATGAAGTTCAAATGAAAATGCAAGACTAAGGTTTCGTTTGGGACTGTTTTATTCCTGCATCTTAAAGCAGCTTTCAAGAACAAAAATTAAAACTTTTGTACTAAAAAGCTGATTTAAGTATAAGAAAGCCATCCCAACAGAAATCTAAAACTCCCACATAGGCATAACCGGTGGTTAAAAGCAAGTGGCAGCAATACATTACTACCACTTTCTATTGCCAACAAAATTTCATCAACATCCGAGATATGGAGGCAAACTGCCAACCTCTAAATCAAATGGTTAAGAATTTAAAAAAAAAAAATCAAAACATATCTTATGGTAGATGATAATCAATCAGAATAAGATTGGGATATTTAATAGATTTAAGTATAAAATTACTGCCGTGAATAGAATTATTGATGGTGTTTTAAATCAAAAACATACTATGCTCCTCAAATTAGAATATAAAAAATTTTGAAAAACCTAATTCAGGAAAAACTAAATGTATCATTACAATGTACAAAAAGAGAATAATAAAATTGATGGTGATTCAAATGGATATTCATAATAGTAATATGAGTTTAGGAATATCAATTGGACTAGCCTAGCCCAGACCCTGATGAGGTCGGGGACCTGAAGCCCAAAAACAAAATAGGAGAGATCAGCCCCTTTAAAGATAAGGATTTTTTAATGATCAAGGAATTTAACCATAAGCAACGAGAAAATAAAGATCCTTATTGGGATCTATTTGGGATAGTTTTTTCACTTCTTTATTTTTAATAATGCTCGAATACTTTTATAGGGTTACTTTTATTTTTTGTTACTTTTTAAGGTTTCGTTTGGGATGGCTTTCTTACTGCTTCTTAAAACAGCTTCCTAGTACAAAAAATAAAATTTTTGTACTAAAAAAATGCTTTAAGAAGCAATAAGAAAGCCGTCCCAAACGAAGCCAAAGAAACTTGTAAAAAGCTGTTTTTTGCAACTAGATTTGCAAGAGTGTTGGCTGCAAAAAAATGCTGTCCAACTTTTTCAAAAAAGAAACTATTTATAATATCTACATCAGCATTTCTAATACTATTTTTTTCCACAACTCCACAATTATATTTGCAAGAAGTTGTAACCACTCCAAACGGAAACTTAGATTGCAAGAGGCTGCTAGTGACTGCTACTTTGAATAAATGCCTATAAATTTAAGTGTTACAAATTTACAACCGGAGCAGATTTTTATTATAGCATTTTTTTATGAAAGTACTTTTTAATTGAAAATTAACATTATGTCCTCTAGTGTATAGAATTTTTCAATAAAAATTATATCCATATACTCTGTTATATAGATTTTTAAGAAAACAAGATTTCTAAGAAATTCTTCTAGCTTTCAAAGACCTGCCTAGTGAAGTTCTGCAAGAAAAATATTAATACAAAAGAAAGATCAATGTAGTTATTTAAGGGATTTAAGGGCTATTTAAAAACAACAACAACAAGCATTTATCCCATTCCATGGAGTCAGCTATTTAAGGGCTTTCTAAAGGGATATTTTTTCTTAAAGGGTTGTTTGTTTTTTTTTTTAAAAAGTATGTGAAGTAGAAATGTGATATATTTGAAATGTTTGGAGTTATTTGAATTAGTTCAAAATAATTCAGGTGATTTTTTTTTTTTGGTCTAAGCAAAATGAATACAAAGAAAAACCCAACAATATATTTGAAAACCAGCTAAAGTCAGATGAGTTTTAAATACATTAAAAATGAACTGCATAGTAAATTTGAAACTAACTAAAATTTTATTCTTAATTTCTTTTGCATCGAACTAAAGCCACTACATTTAGAACACTTTATGTATATATCACTATTGGCCAAGTGTTTTCATAGATAGCGACCAGATCATGACAAAGCCATCCTTTTCTAGGATTAGCTGCCTTAATGGACTCACACATAGATACGCGGGTAACTCACCCAAGGAGAGGCCATCACTTGCCCGCATGCATCTAGGAGCTCGCCCTATGCTAGCCAACCATGAGGTCCCTCACTCTCAGCCAAGCTCTTACTTCCTAAGCTCACCAAGCTTATTTATGAGAAAGTACCAACCTCCATGACCCCTTGCTCATTCGACTAAAACTTCTACTAAATTAAGAAACTCATCATCCCCGGGCGACATCTCGACTCGCCTTCCTCCACAGGGTGACACTGAGTCTTCTATGTTACTCCACGACTAGTGGTCCACTGCCTCTCAGGACTCACCCTACGCCTATTTTCCACCTCTTGAGTTCGCTCGATGGCAGACAACTCACCAAGTCATTAACTACGTACTCATGTAGCCAATCAAGAGACCCCACGCATTCGAGATTAATGTGTAGCATTGTAAGGGTGCTTTTTATGTAGCCTTTCTAATAGACCATAGAATCCTATAAATAAAGGGTAGTGAGGAACAAGTGAAAGAACTTTTCTGAATGACTTTTTAAAACCTCTTGACTTTTTTAGCTTTCAATTACTTCAATATTCTTAGCTGAGATAGAGAAAATTTTACTAACTTATTCTCCTCTAATCTTTATTATCGACTCCCTAATCTCATCAACAGGTTCTCAAGCTCAACAGGCTGATATGATACTATTTCAGGAATCACCTACTGGAAAAAATTAATTTCAACATCCTCTTAGGAGCGGTCAGCGTGGATCGATGCCAAGCACAAAAAAATAGCCTCAACTTGACGAGTGACGTCAACAAGAACCCTAAAAAAGCATGGAGAATGCCAAATTTACTCCTCATAGCAATCTGCAAGAGATGGAAGAATTTCACGACACTCTACACAGTCTCCAGCAAAGGCAAGCGCAGACCAACAATAGACCCAACGGATCCTTTCACTTAGCAGCTCCCCAGAGGGCTCGGAAAGAGCACTCACTCAGAAACCTTAACTAACCAATTACTTCTCCAAAGCGATTATCAAAGACAAGCTACCTCCCAAATTCATGGTGCCTCATTTGGAATCGTACAAGGCAAGTTCGACCCCACAGATCAAGTAGCAACTTTGGAGTTTATGACCTCCCTGACGGACATAGATGATGCTCTCAAGTTTCATCTCTTCTTCACAATACTTAAAGAGTCAAGGCTAAGGTGGTTCACTCGCTTGCCTCTGGGAGTGATTACCTCCATTTTCATTTCAAGATAATGTTTGTCACACAATTTGTTAGGGCTAAGAGATGGATGTCGCTAAAAAGGAAATGAGGGAAAGAGACATTCAAGTTTTTGTAGATGAATGTATGATACTGATATTCCATTTAATGCAGTGAGATATGACAATTTCCCTAATATAGTCGAGGCACTTGGGCAGTTTAGACCTGGAATGAAGCCTCATAGATATCATAAGGTACGAGTTACTTATTTTGAAGAAAGAGGTTGGGCATATACATGAAATATTATGACATCATCAAGAAGATTGTGTACGATATGGTTGAGATAGTGCACAAATCAAAGAGTACTTGTCAAATTGGCCAAGACTCATTTCGTAATAACTTTCTTGATGTTACAGTTTTTTCATCAACAACAACTGAACTTGAAGAAAATATTTACTTGTGAATAGTTCATTTTGGGTCCTTATGCGAAATAGGTTAAAGCAAAGCAATCTCAAAAGACAATCTTGCAGCAATTATTTTGGAGTACTATTGTGTATGCCTTAAAAATAGCAGGGCCTTTATTGAAGGTTCTTAGATTGGTTGATGGAGAGAAAAAGACCCCCAATGGCTTACATATATGAAGCAATGGATAAAGCAAAAGAGGCAATTGCTGCAAGTTTTAGTAACATTGATAAAAATGATCAGATTTTCAAAATTATTGATAGAAGATGGAAGTAAATTACACCAGCCTCTACATGTTGCGGCACATTTTTTAAATCCTAAATATTTCTTCAATGATCATAATATTGCCAAGCATAAGGAAATAGCTAATAGTCTTTATTAATGTATTGGAAGATTAATGTTATCTATCATCTTATTTATAATCAGCATTTGATTCCATAATCTCTTTGATACAATAATTTATTACTTTATCATTTCTAATTTTATCACACATCCACCATAATATAATCAATTTTGTCATATTCAAGTTAGCCATAAGTGATTTGTTTTTTACTCAACCCTTAAATCTCTACAGTTTACTTGGTCTAATTATAATTTTATAGAATCTACCTTTCTCATGATTCTCTTGTTGTTTGGCACCACTTAGGTGCCTCCATTTTAGCATACATTTTCAATAAATGATATTGTGCTATCGCTAATTTTCTTATATTAGAATGGCTATGCTTACATATGTCACACAAGTATCACTTCATTACAAAAATAATAATTAATTGTCAATTTTGATCTACTTATGTTATTGATCTTGCACTCTATCTTTATTCAATTAATTCTATTCCTCTTTTTGTCTTAAAATTTCCTTAATCATTCAAGCTTTTACATTTGTCATCCGGAAATAACATACCCCAATGCACTTGACTATTAATATTTTTCTAAGTTACTTCATAACCAATAAAAAACTATATACTTGTTCCGCATTGATGCAATTTTATTGTGATATAAAACTATATAGTGTTCATTTCTACTTCAAATAGTAGGTTATGTTCCATTATACTTATATTAAATAATTTAGGACGCAGGTTAATCTGATACTCCTCCGATTAGGGGTGTCAATTTCGGGTCACGGGTCGGGTTCGGGTCGAACACGGAAATGACCCGGCAGTATTCAAGTCAACCCAAACCCGAAAACGGGTCGATTTTATGGACCCGAACCCGACCTGCTTCAGGTCAACACGACCCGCTTCAGGTCAACCCAACCCGACCCGCAGTCACGTCAACGCCATCAACAGCTTCGCGGCACTGGCATCCGACTGCGACGGCGAGCCTTCAGCCGGCGTCCGGTGGCAGTGACAGCCTTCAGCCGGGGTCTTGGGACGCTCAGCAGCCAACTGCCAACATATGCAACTCGTGACGCGACAACTGGGCAGCGAGGCAGCGACCAGTGGGCAGCAGGGCAGCACAGCGGTGGGCAACGAGGCATCGCGGCGAACAAGCCTACGCTACGCGGTCACGCGGTCCTGTACTCACGCGGACAGCAGGCGTCACTCGAGC